GGAATTGATTGGGGTGCTTCAGAGTGTGTCTAAAGAGTACAATGGTGGCTTTAATGCAGATAGTTCAGACACCTGAATTAGCACAAGTGTGGTGTGGGTGCATTAACCTGCTGGCAGCTACACTGCCCTCCCTCCAGCAGCCTTGCCAGGGCTCCTGTCCATAAGGAGCTGTGCCACACAGCTCACCTCCTTTTCTACCTTGCGTAGTGAGGAAGGATGATTGCAGCCAGAGTAAGAGCCTCTTTCTGTTTCAAAGTCAAATTTCTGTGAACTGTGTGAATTGCTCTGGAATGCAAATGTGCCCACAGAGCAGATGGGTAAGGGTCAGCAAGAGGATAAAAGCCCTGAGAGACAGCCCTTGACATAGAAATGAGTTAGCCTGGTCCTAGCAGGCTTGGCACTGCACCTACCTTGCTGCCAAACTGCAGCCCCAGCCAGGTCCCAAAGCATTTGAATTGCTTGATAACCACCTTATCTAGTATATAGTACCTGCTACCTTAGAAAAATGGGTTGAGAATAACAATAATTGAAAAAAAAATAGGTGCTGGGTTTCCCAGCAGGCTGTGAGATTAAAGCTTGTCAAATGAATGATCCCAGTAGTGAATAACTGTAAGGTTTATGACCTGTTTTAATACAAGCTAGGTAGCTCAAAGGGACATAAAACAGCTATTAAAAAAGGCCTGTGCCCAGTCAGTTGCAATTTAAACTTGGCCCTTGTACGGCGTGGTGGTTGCAAGAGGAATATGAAGACAGGTTCTGCCTCTGTCAAGGAATATTAGTTTCTGTTTTTGTAATAATGATTTGAATTGTTCCTATTTTGGGTACTACTGCAGTCCAATATACCAATAGATAGATAGATAGATAGATATACACAGCCTAATACATGCCTCAATTGTAATAATTGTTCTTAAAAGATTGTGGATACTAGGGCAGAGATAGAACTGCCTGATGGAATAAAGAGATTTTACAGAAGTCCACAGCATTCAGATATGAAAATGGGGGGATGGGATCAGGACTGCATGAGAAAAGTGATCACCAAAAATATTGGGAGAAATTATAAGAAGCATTATATATGAGACTATTGAACACTTTTATAAAATATTTATTCAATATTTAATGAGGTATCCTGCACAGAATCTTTCCTGAGATTGATCTTATTGTACAGTCATACACTGATGCTCCTGCCCTGACATTTATAATGCTTTATCATTTCTGTTTGTTCCTCTGCATATGCTTAAACACTGTCTTATTTCATCTTCCTTATGCCTGTCCTTTTCCCAGTCACTCTGAAAGTTACTCCAGCTTTGGAAAAAACTTTTTTTTTAACTTCCTTTAAGCCAGTATTGGAATTCAAATCCCAAAGACAGTTTCAGCTTTTAAAATCAGGCCTTAGCTTCATATCTTATTTTTCATCTCTGAGTGGTAAATTCAACAGAAAAAGGGACTGAAGATGCAGACCTCCTGCCAGCTCAATGTCCCTAAAGACATTGTCTGCTTTCAAATTTCTTTCTTTTCTAATCTGGGCAACAAATGCTCATGAATTAAATACCAACCACTGAGAATTAAACTAGTCCACATACGATAACATTTTCCATGGTTCAAATGAGGTTTCTTAATTTTTTTTCTTTCTATGCTTATCTACCCTTTTGCCTTTCACTACATCACATCCCACAGTGCCCACCTGCAGCCCAGGGTGACCAACCTGCAGCTCTGTGCAGGTAACCTGGGTAATGACTCTTGAGATACTGTGTACAGGGATGTATGGCAGAGCATAATTCAGCATGGCTTGCTGTTATCTGTCTTTCCTTTATCCTGCCTGCCTTCTCAGGACCCTCCAGATATGAAAATACATTCCTGTTCGGGAGCTGTTTTGAATTTTCATGTAGAGCTACGAGTATCTTTTGCGCCATTAGGATATTACACCTCATGCATTTTCAGGAAAGGCTCTGTACTTTTCAGTCAAGGTTTTAATGCTTTAAAACAGAGAAATTCCAACTTTTTTCCTTTTTTGAACAACGGGCGTTTTTTAAGAAAATACAATTTTACAAACACCTGCTGGCCTATTCATCATCAAATGGACCAAATATCATTCCATTTCCAATGTCTTAATATTCATATGAATAATTCAGTAATTGCTGTGGCTAATACAATGATGTTATGAGAATATCTGCTGCATTTTAGGTATTTTTTAATAAAACTGAATAACTGGAAAAGAGAAAAAATTGAGACAGCCAAAATGGATAGTTAGCTAAATTTTTTCTTGGGCAATTGTTCATTCAAGACACTCTGAATTTGTTTGGAACAGCTATGCTGACCTTTGACTGAGCTACATTTCAGAAACTCAGAATACATTTCAGAAATTCACCAGCAAGTGACTTGAACTTAAGAGCAACTTGTCAAACACAAAGTTCAAACTTCAGCTTCATGTATGGAAGCAGTCCAAGACAGAGATATCTGATATTTAAGTTGGACAAAATAAGTCTTTTAGTAACGTGTAGAAAATGTGGTACTAGTCCAACGCAGATTAAAACACTGAATTATGTGTAGACAAACATGACCATAGTTCTCCTCAGAACAAACCAGAAAGAAATATTTCTTATTGCTATTTAAGCAAAGGAGTGCATTCACATGTACTGCAGAAGAGCCAGGATTCTCTGCCAAGTGCAACCAGATGATTTCCAGTTTGGGGCTATGCTGTATTCTGCCATACTCACAAAGAGATTTGGGTTAAGGACTGCAGGTACATAGCTCATAATTATTACACTTACTTAGGGAAAGGAATTAGTAGATGGATGTGGATGATGGGAATTGTTCAGCATTTGCTTTTTGAAACACTGAGGAAATAAATCACAGTCATTTATAATTTTCAGACTCCAGAAGGTTTAATTTCATTAGTATAACACAATATAAACCCAGGTGTTGCAATTTGCTAACCTCTCAAATTCTACTGCAATTTAAAAATATGTCCTTTTCAACCTGAAGGCATAACAAAATGAACTTGGAAGAGGAGAAGGGGTGCTATCTAAAAAGGCATGAGAGATTTGAACTTTTAACAAAGCCAATTTATAAATTAATGTAACCTTCTCGACTCTCAATGAAAAAGAAACCTATTAATATTCAAATATATTAATATTTAATTTTAACACTTGTTTCCCTGGATCAAGATCATTCTGTTAGAAAATGGCAGAATTAATAACAATAACTAATAATTCACAGTTGGTATAGATTCTTTACTTTTAACTGAAATGTACTGACTAAATTGAAGAACTGGGAGAGAGATGGAAGAGAAAATAACTTCATTTTAGTGGTGATCTTTAATTGGTGAAATCCCTCCCTAAAGTTAATTGGTGAAATTGGTGAAAACTCTCACATCCAAGGTAAGAATCAAACATTTTCATCATACAGGTTAAATACAAATCTCCAGTATTGTCCTTCCCAGAAGATATAAAACTAGCGAGGAGACTGAAATGCCCTGTGCTGTGTTAAACTTTAAATTTCTGTCTTTGCTTTAATAATTACTGTAGAATCCTACCAGCATAGGCAATTATTTTTGTGTATCTTTGCAATTTGATATATCCATGGTATAATAATGTGAAAGAAGCAGCTCTCTGTCAAGGTAACAAAGATAACTGGGGATAAAGCAGGAACAGTGGGGAGAGAGGGAAGAACTACTACTAAAAACAATGCTAATACTCTAATTCAAATTTATTTTTCTAGGCAAAATCCACAGATCATTTTTGTCAACAGATAATTATACTGAACCAACTAATAGGAGTATCAGGTGAAACAGAGACCAACCACTGCCACCATGATGCTATTGTGATGAACATGCAATTAAAGTATAATCTTCTCCCTCTCTATTACTCCTTTCTTTTTTCTTTTTCTTTTTTTTTTTTTTCTCAGTGCATTCATTCTTCCTTGCCTGCCTTTTGCTGCTGTTTAGTTTGGCTTTGGGTTCTTTTTTAGGTTTGTGGGGTTTTTTTGCTTGTGGTTGTTTGGTTTGTTTTATCTTGTAGATACTACCACAGGAAGTTCTTTAATGTACTAAGAGCTGGAACAGAATGTTCACCCTGACAGGTAAAGGTGTCTAAATATCCATAAAATAATTGGAGGGGTATTAAACTACTCTGTCTATGGCACTAACACGCTCTGGTGATTTCACCTGCCACCCCTGACCCTTTATCATGCACTGTCAGCAATGCAAACCCTGAAAACTCCTCATCTTGCTGTTAATAAAAAAAGTGCTGCGCCTTTAGACACACAACTCAAACACAAGTAGAGAGCAGCAAGAGAGAAATAGCTCAATCTAACCTTGACAGCTCTGCAGCCCTGGATCAACTTTGTATTTGGGCATTGGTCCAAAGAGGGTTATATGTCTCATATGATTTTCTTCCTTCTTTTCCCTCACTCTTAAAAACTTCTCCTCAAGCTAGGTTTATGGCAGGGAATACAGTGGCCTCATAACATGAATTCCTATCCCAGTAGACATTGTCTGTTCAGCTTGAAACCAAGAATTTTTCTTAACACAGGGGAAGAACCTGGCTGACAAAAAGCAAGCATGGGACAGTGGATGTTTTACCAAACTAACATTACTTGACCAAAGCTGACCTTGAATATTTTCTGAGTGCGACAATTTGTGTTAGACTGCACACAATTTGCCAAGGTGATTGGAATTTAATTATTTAGAGCTTCAGCTAGGTAGATTTAGCTAACAGTTGAAGCTTGCCCTTTATCAGCTCACATGCTTGTGTTACCTAATTTAGAATGTGCCTGTGGAAGAAACAGGTTCTAATGTGTTTGATTCACTCTGAAAAGTGCTGTATTGATAAACAATTTTATTTTGTGGAAAATATCCATCTTTCTGGGGTTTTTTTGACCAGCTTAAATCAGAGCCTCTAACACCAACTACTTTCTTGGTAAAACCGCACATTTAGTAAAAAGATGTGGCAAAAGGAAGAAAATGCATTCCTGCTAGTGCAGAAGGATGAGCATCTGCTTACCAGCACAGTCACCACACGCAGAACCACTCCTCTCATGTTGTTCTCCAGCTTTCTGTCTGTTAGTGACCCATTCAGACCAGTTACAGGATTCCAGCAGCCAAGCTAAAAGAGAAAACAAAAATCACTTCCTCATTTGCCCATAAAACTTTGCTAGTCATTCCTGCTAGGTGTCTTTAAGCAGGAAAGCATGAAATAGACAGAATACCTTCTGGACTCAATGGGATGGAAACTCAGAGAATGGCTTGTGCACAGATTCATTTGAAATTGAAAGTGAAGCAATTAAAGATATCAGGTTTTGATTTTAAATACCAGTGTGCAACGGATGACAGCATCCAGGATTTGGGGTTATATGAGTTGCTTTAAAAGAAGTCAGAGAGGATATCAGTATTAGTGAAAGATATATAAAAAGTACTGTACCTGGAGCAATATTTCTACCTTACTTTCATTAATACACTAATTGGAGAAATAATAGCTACCATCATTTTAGCACGCTCTTTGCTCCAGCCCATCATTCCTAGTGGAACTCTGACAAAAGGAATTACACTAGCTTTAATTAAAGCTTATACTACTAATTGGTAATGAAACAGCAGTGATTTTAAGCCAGTTTAAAAATCACATTTAAAGATGATTGAGGAAAAGACCATTGGATAGGCACATCACAGAATTGAGAGGGTACTGCAATAGACTATGCAGAAAAAAGGTCATCTATGCCTTTCTTTGCATTGGTGCTATTGTAGTTCTTGAGCCTCTGTGGATGAAGCATTTGCTCAGGAATGTGTTTAGGATTATCTGCCTTTCAATCTGGTTGTAGTAGATACCAACTTGTAATTCAGCTTCTCTGAAAATGCAACTTGCATTGGTTTTTGTATGATGGCAGATGCTTTTTTTTAAGCATAGAGAAACAAATCAATCAACCATACATCCCTTAGCACCACACACCAGGACAACCAGCTGAATTTTTGAAATTCATTACCACCCTCAGCTGTCCTGCACAATTACCAGTGCTAAATCCAAAACCCAACAGGAGGACAATGCCTGACTTGAGAGGACTTTGGAGCAGTCTCAATTATGGCAGGTAAACCAATTGCCCATGTGAAATCATTACACAGCCAAAGGGACAGACAGGGACCTGCAGCTACCAGTTCTTGCTCTGAATTACTTCTCCACGGACTGTGAATGAAACCTTTCCAGGGATGCTCATCCTCTGACTCCTATTTAAAGGAACAAAAGGTCTTGCTTCCTCTGATAAACCGAGACTAACATCAGTGGGGTATTGTTGGGTCCAGTGGCCTCTACTAAAACTATTCTCTTGGAGAATTCAGCACCACAATCTGAGAGAAACATAAACTGTAAAACATGGAAAATATGACTGCAATTTCACACAGAGTCATAGAAATGGCAGGTTGCCTCAAACCATCTGAAAGAGTTTGTAAAGAAGGGAGCTTTGCTGACTGTGCTTGAACAGGAATTTGCAGACATCATTATTTTCAGCACTTCATGTGAAAAGGCTTTGTATATGTGTTTCATAGATCTTTCAAAGGAAGATAAAGAACAGGATTTAAGTAAACATATTTAACAACTTTAGAAGTGGGTAATCTGAAATATTTGTTTTCTTCATTACATCTATTAGACTAAAGCAACTCCTAAATTTTTAAATTTCAATATATTTATAACAATTCTTTGAAGATGCCTTCTTAAGAAATGAATGTCTCAAATAGTAAAAATTAAAAACTTTCTGCAATTATTGGTTAGTCTTAATGGTCTCACAGGTCTTTTCCAATCTAAATGATCCCATGATTCTAGGTTTCCTAGAGAAAGGTGGCCTTAAAACAATGTCATCACTTCTCTCTGCTGCTTTCAGGAGTACTCACAGCTAATTCTTGCCCTTCTGAAGTCAAGGTTATCCTCCAGACTGGGAATGAGTGAGGATAATGCTGAAGATATTTGTAAACACAAGTAATGACTGAATCAAGGATCTACGAGATCCAAACCCCAGAGAAACTGAAAGCAGCAACAGGATAGAAGGAGAAACAAAACCAGGAGGTGTCCAATTAATCTCTTGAAATTGCTCATCTTTCCTATGGCTGCTTCCAAATAAAAGCATGAATTATCCCCGTTTGGTTTCCCCATTTTGTTTTCCCATCTGATCACAAAGACCATCAAGAGATCACAGCAGTCCTCTCTGCTTCTTCTGCTCCTCCACAGTGTATCCAGATGCTCTCTAGTCATGGATGGACTACTGACACATTCCAGGTCCTCACCACTCCCCTGAAAAAGCCCTGTAACACTTTGAGTGGAATAACCCAAATGCTGGAGTGTATGGCCTATAATGGAACAGTGAAATGCAGCAAATGTACGTGCACTGCACTTTGTACGTGAAAAACCACTGACATCCCACAAAGCAAAGCATCTCATGGGCTACATTTTTGTATGAAAAATAGTGAAAACAGTACTAAGCTCAGAACAAAGCTGCATTAAATTAATTCAGTGATTGTCATTCTTAGTCACACAAAGAAACTAATTAGAACTTAGATCCAATTAGCATATCCAAATGTGTTGGATGTGTAATTGCTGCAGAAACTCTGTTGCTTTTGCCAGAACTAAAACCCTAGGAAGTTGCTGAAGAGCCTTTTTATCCTTTTGAAGTTAAAGTCCATTTTTAATTATGCACATTAATGTGCACATATTTATACAATTAAGTTTTTAGCCCAACCCTACCTTTTTAAGGCAAACTCCCCCCCACCAACATAGCATTTCTGGAAATTCACCATAGGACTAATTTTCCTTTAAAAAGGCACTTTTTATTTTCAATTATTGTTCATTTAATTTTCAATTCAATTGTTCCTTTATGCAGCTCAGTCATGGTGAAGACAAATGTGCAGTGTCTTGCCAACAAAGTTGAAATTGATTTTGAGTGGGAGCTGCTTACTGTTATTAGGAGAAAACAAATCAACATTTATTGATGACAATTTGAGCTTGTCATTGCAGCAAGGAGCAAATGTAACTACTGCTGAAACATTGAGATGGGGGTGGTATGAAGCTCCCTCTTGAGCTTTGTCTCGTTTAAATGCTTCTGCAAAACATTTGCTGCTTTCTGCAGTTACTTCCTTTTACTTTTGTTCTCTCTCTGATGGTTGAAATGAGAGAATAGATCAGAGTCTCACAGTAGCAGAGTCTCACATTAATTTGGGTGGATTTGGGCAGATGGGTGATGGGAACTCTTACTGAGCACAGTGCTTGTCATCTTCATACCACACAAAATTTATCATTTATAGTGCTTTGAACTTCTGTTTCAGTTTCTTTTATTTATTCTAATGACAGCTTTCACTCTGGCAGGTTTGATATAATATGATGAAGATGGAAAAGTTGTCAGTTTTCTACTTCCTTTGATACCCAATTTTAAATCTCTTTCTGTTCATCCCACATCCCAGCTTGTTATCCTCACTATCATCATTGTTGAAATGGGCTTTGTTCTCCTGTTTTGCTGGCAAAGACAAAAATTTACTTCCCTTCTTCATTAGATATTTTTGACTAAATGAACAATGCATTATGGAAGATCTTTAATTTGTATATCAATATTACAGTAGGCCAGTCCTATTTCATGTGTACTTACAATTTCATTATTCATAAGGAACTTGGAACACTAAAGTCTATAATGCCTTTATGACAGAGCTTACAGCCAGTTTTCCTCCCCTACTTCCTATGCAACCAGCGAACTCTGCTGAGTATCTGAGAGCTTTCACTTCTTTTCCTGGCAGAGTAAAGTGCAGATTGTGTCAATAAATCAAGAAAAATACATTGGCCCGGTATGGTCACATTTAAGGACCATCAGAGAAAATGAATAAAACCAGAACACTGATATGGATGAATTACTTAAGTGCTTGTCACTACATCAAAGTTTAGAGTGCTCTGTTGCTTCAATTAACATAGAAAATGTACAGGAACTGGTTTATCCAATGCAACCACCTTGGAACTCAGGCTGTGTTACCACAACACAAGGGCCAAGAGCAGAAAACAACTATAGAGGAGGTGCAATGGAAGTCTGAAACATAAAACTATACCACATCTGCAACCCAAATCTATAATTGGGATCTCTGACTCCTCTTTCATTTATTTCTCTATCTTTTAAAGAAAAAAAATCCCAACAATACTTTGGCTTCAGTATGGACAGCCTGAAAAAATATTTCCAGTGGAAATGCCCAAGACAGAGGAGTTCATAGAGAGCTGGTGAGCCACGGAAAGAGCACCCTCCCTGCCTGGAGTACCCACATGTGCTTCAGAAACTCCCTCCTCAATTTTCACCCCAGTCCAACCTGCTCTAGGAACTGAATTCTTACAAGATCTGACCTCAGCAGAAGAAATGTGCATTAATAATCCCCTTTTCCATTCCAAAGCACACTAAATTCACAGAAATGGAAAAGACCCCACGAAACTGTCACAAAATGACCCTCAGCTGGAAGATTCGAGCTCCCAGGAGTGCTGGGGAGACATGAAATGGGGCACACAACAAAAATTCATGAAGGAAAAGGTAGAGTTTCTTTTGCTGGTGTGCGGATTCAGCATTTGCAAAATTTTCTAGGACATCAATTTAGGCAAAATTCAAGCAGGACAACCCAGAAATTGTTTTGCACAGAGTATTCTTCATTCCTCTTATCAGCTGTTGCTTAGTATGTCCAACAGCAACTGGGCAATCAGACACTAAATCCTATTGCTTAAAGACTATATCTCAGAGAAGAAACACCATAAAAGATATCTTTTGGTTGTCAATATGATACTGTCAGTTATGTAAAAAGTAGTCAGATGCTTTGTTACCTGGTTAAAGAGTTCTTTCCATTCAGCTCTTTAGCCATCAACCAAATCTGCAAAAAAATCTGGTGGCCAGTGGTTAACTGAGGCCTTTTGTACCCCTGGGCTTGATTAAACAAGTAAGGATCCATTTTGTTTTTGCAGCAATTTCCTAACAGGATTGGTTAGTAGGAAAGATTTCATTGTTTAACTGCTGCTTTCACCAAAGCTTAGGTAATAGTCAGCAAATAGTAAGTTGTTAAAATCGATAGAAAATACTGTGCTCAACAATTGGATAATGTATAGAAGCATTTGTT